CAGTGCCAGGTCTCCCCGCAACTGCGGTGGCTCAAAGCAAAAGGGACGGTGGGCCACGGCTGGGTGGCCGGGCGCGTCGCCGTGCGAGTCCTGGAGTGGGCGGGCGGTGTCGCGGGGGCCTACCTGGCGCGCTGCCCGACGTGCCCGCCGGTGCCCGACTGCAGGTGCGCGGCGTGCCCAGCGTGCCCGCCGGCGGCGGCTTGCGCCCCCTGCCCGGGCTGCCCGGGCTGCCTGGGGGGGTTCGCCGCCCCGCCCTCGCCGGCGCGGCTGCCAGCGGAGGGCCGCCCTGCGGCGCCGGAGGGCGAGCGCGCTGGGCCCGCGGGGCTGGCCTCCACTTGGGGCCTGGGGGCGGCGCTGCTGCTCGGCATCCTCGTCGGGGTGGCGCTGGTCATCTGGGGCGGGGCTCGGTGCTGCGCGAGGCGGGTGGCGAGCCAGAGCGATGGCGCTGGTGCCGAGAGTGAAGGAGTGGGCGTTCGTGCTGTACGCAGACGACGAGCACTTGTGGCACCAGAGGCTGATCCTCGGCCAGGTGGGGTTGTCGGATTCTAGGTATGTGATCCCTAGCCCCGACGGGGACGTGTACGCGGAGGGCTACGGCGACGACGGCCTGCACGTCGCCGCGGTCAGGTGCTAAGATGCTCGGCAGGCTGGGCTGCGGTGCCGGCTGGAGCGCCCCCAGGGCGGGTCTACCGATTTCGCCAGGAGCCTTCGCCAGGGGCCGACGGCAGCGGAGAGGGCGAGGGCGATGACAGACGCTCGGGCGGAGGCCCAGGCTGAGTGCCAGCGGATCGCGGCTGCCCGCGGCGACCCGCAGTTGCTGGCGAAACCCGTCTTCCTGAGGCCGCTGGCGGTGGCGGGTGCCATCGTGGCGGCGGCCGCCAAGCCTGCTCGCATCGGGCCTCTGCAGGGGCCGGCGCCGGCCGGCGCGGTCAGCGTGGCGGGCCGCGATGGCGCTCGGTCAGGTGCGGTGACGTCGTGGACCGCGCGAGGGGCGCGCTGGCCGTCGGCGCCGCGCGGAGCCCCAACAGGATGTTCTGCCGCGCTCCGCAGCCGGGGCTTGGGCAGGGCGCTCGGCATTCTGGCCTCGTCTCGCGTGCGTAGCGCGAGGCCGTCGACTTTATCGAGGAGTCGGCGCGAGCGCTGGGGGGGCCTCCCCCAGGGCTCACTCCCGCAGAGGCTCTTCGGAACCTTCGCGTGGCGAGCTGGTGCGACGTGGGCGCAATCTCGCTGCCCTCGGGATCGGTTCGACCAGTTGCTCTCGAGGAGTTGTGGGGGGGGGGGCGGCGGGAGTGGCGCCGTGGGGGGTTTCATCTTTCAGAATTTGCTGTTCCCCGAGACCCGAAGCAGCGGCTGCGGGGCGTGGGGCTGGAGCGGGCGCACTCCGACCCAGCGCTGCGACGCCGGGGTGCGCGTGAGGAGTTCGCGCGCGTGTTGCACGAGCGCGCCCTCGTCGATTTTGCCGAGTCCGGCGTGGAGTTGGTGGAGGCTTTCTTTGTGGAGAAAATGGATCACCGCTTGCGCATGGTGATCGACTGCAGGCGGGCCAGCGCCTGGTTCTCGGAGTCCGCGGGCGTCGGCCTCTGCACGGGGGGCGCCCTCTCCCGCCTCGCGCTGGGCCTCGAGGATGAGCTGCGCATCGAGGGCGTCGACCTCGGCGACGCCTTCTACCGCGTGAGCCTGCCCGAGCCGCTCAGGGGGTACTTCTCCTTCGGGCACGTGCGGGCGTCTGCGGTGGGGGCGACGCGCCTCGGCGGGGCGCCTCTGGCCCGCGGCGACATGATCACTCCCCGCCTGGCTGTGCTCTCGATGGGGTGGAGCTGGGCGCTCTGTTGGTGCCAGCGCGAGCACGAGCGGATCGCCGTCGAGACTGGCGCCACCCCCCAGCAGCGGATCGTGGACAGGCGGGCCCCCCCCCGTCCCTCGCGCCGAGCGGCCACCTTGAGTGCGTCGACAACTTCGCGGCCATCGGCGCGGATAAGGGGTGGGTGACTAGCGCCGTCGACCGGGTGGCTCACGCGCTGCGCGCCCGCGGGCTCGAAGTCAAGGCGGAGGACCACGCCGGTGAGGGGCCCCGCGAGTCGGTGGCGATGGGGTGGTGGTGCATCGACCGACGTCGGTGCACCGTCCGCCCCGCGCGCGTTCGGCTTTGGTGTGCCTGACTCGCCGTCCGCGGCGCCCTCCGCCGCGGGGGGGGCTGCGCGGCTGGGGCCTCGAGAAGCTGCTGGGCCACCTCGTCTTCATTTCGCTGATCGAGCATGAGGGTATGTCCCTGTTCTGGAGCTCGCACGCCTTCGCCCGCACCGAGACGACGCTGTGGCCTGCCGTGCGTCGAGAGCCGGAGTATTGGGACGACATCTCGCCTTTGCTCTGGCACATCCTCAGGGCGCCGAAGACGGACGAGCTCATCGTGGTGGGCGCCAGCGAGTGGGGCATCGGGGCATGTGTCGCTCCTGCTCCCCCTCCGCGCTGGTGCAGCGGCTTGGGCGCGTCTGCGAGAGGTGGCGGTGGCGCCGCGGCCTGGCCGGCTCCGCCCCCCGTCGGCGCGCGGGGGCCGCGGCCGCCGCGGCGGCGCTGGCGGGGGACCCCGCCGATGCGGCCCCCTGGGTGCTGGGCGCCGATGCCTTCGACGAGGTGCCGCCCGAGGTCATCGCTCTGCCCTTGCGGAACGTGGGGCGCCACCGCTGGCGGTGGCCTGAGGAGAGCATGCCCGTGGCCGAGGCGAGGGCGGTGTTGCGCGGCGTCCAGCGCCTCGTGAGGGCCCCCCGTCATCGCGGCCGGCGTGTCGTCGTGCTGGGGGACTCCTTGATCGCTGCGGGTTGGTTTTGGAGTGGTTTGTGCAAAATGCTGTGCATCATCCAAGCCATTGCTGCCATTACCCTCGTCGCCGCCGCCACCCTGCACTGCCGCTGGCTACCGTCGGAGTGGAACGCAGCCGACAACCCGTCGCGGAGCAGGTTCGCGCCCCTGGCCCCGCGGCCACTTCGGGCCTCGGGCCATGCTGCAGCGCGCCCAGGCGCCAGCGGCCCCGCCCCGCGCCCAGGCGGCGGCGGCGGCGACGCTGAGCCAGTGTACGTCCAGGCCTCCGCGGAGCTGGAGGCCGCCGGCCGTCGGGCCCCCCCCGCGGCCCAGCCGGCCCGCGCCGCGGGCGGGCGGCCGCGGCGCGGGGCTCCGCCAGCGAGCGGCCCGCTGCGCCGGCCGGCGGGCGCCCCCTGCCCAGGGGCCCCGGCGGGCAAGAGGCGGCGGCGGGTGGGGGCCACCGCGGGCGCTGCCGGGCGCCGGCGGGCTCGGGCGGTCCAGATGCCGGGCTTCAGCGTGCTCGAGACGGGGTCGGTCACCTCGGCGACGCGGGCGCAGTGCCCGGAGACCTTCGACTCCTTCAAGGCCTGGCTGGGAGCGAGGGGCGAGGGCCCGTCGAGCCTGGGCGACTACGACAGGCAGCTGGTCCTGCGGCTGGACGAGCTCAACCTGGACGGCGAGCGGATCGGGGCCGTGCAGAAGCCGTTCGCGTCGGTGCTCTTCCTCCTGGGGCTGACCAAGGCGGCTGGCTCGCCGATGGCCCGCGAGCTACGCGGGTTCCGGCGGCTGGCGCCGCCGACGTCACGCCTCCCGCTCCCGTTCGAGCTGCTGGCGGCTCTGGTGAACTGCCTCGTGCGCGGCGGGGGGCGGGGTGAGGGGCCAGTGCTGCGGCTAAGCTTCGAGCTGTACCCGCGGCCAGGCGAGCCGTGCCACATCCGGGCCACCGACCTCGCGCGCCCGGCCCACGGCCGCCTCGGCCACGACAGCTGAAGCATCGCGCTGCACGCGGCCGCGTTGTCCAATGCCGCCGAGTGCGACGAGGCGCTGAAGAGGGCCGGCGCTGGAGGGCCTCGTGGCCGCCAGGCTGGGGGCCGACTGGCGGCGCCCCGCCCCGCGGGCCGCGCGCGCCGCGGGCCACCGCGCGAACTCGCGCCCTCCAGAGCCGTTGCTTTTCGAGGTGACGCAGCTGCAGGTGTCCTCGGCCCTCCGCGACGCCGCCAAGGAGCTGGGGATAGACGAGTGCTTTCCACGCCTCCACCCATACATGCTGCGGCACGGTGGCGCGTCTCACGACTTCGGCAGCATGGCGGGGCCCCTCGTCGACGTCCAGCACAGCGGGCGGTGGCAGTCGCGGCATTCGGTCCGACGATGCGAGAAAAGAGCTCGGCTGTCCCAGGTGCGGGCCCCAAAGACCTGGCCAAGGTCGATGCAGGAAATGTGTCCATGTCTTTCAGTGCGTCCCTCGTCCATGAGGCGCTCAGGGCCAATATCCCTGCCAGTGTAGAGAATCCCCAAACTAGCAGACTCTGGATCGCCGTTCCGTTCGTTCGTTTGCGTCGTGCCGGTGCTGTCTCGCTCGCAGTCACTCACTTCTGCCAGTGGGGAACGCCGTGGCCGAAGGCTGCGGCGTTCCTCACCGTCGGCCTCAACATGAGCCGCATCAGCCGCGCCCTCTGCAAGTCGTCCAAGAATGGTATCTGCTCATGCACGACTCAGCCTCACTCCCAGCTGCACGGTAAGAGTGCTGAAAAAACCTTTAAGACGAAGCTCGCCGAGGCTTGCCCTCAGCGATTGTGTCGTGCCCTCGCCCAAGCGTGCAATAATGCACTCGTAGCAATCAGATCTCGCATATTTGAGCATCTGGTACTACCTGCCAACTGACATCTTTGGGGAGTCTTGGTTGGGGGATTGCACGTCCTGGGAGCCTCCTCAGTGTGTGCGTTCCTCGGTCCTTGACGGCCCTCAGTTTGCAGAGCTGCCGATTCGTCACACATATCGCTGTGTTGGCAAATGAGAATAAGGATGTCTTTTGGATATAATCTATATAGAATTGTATGTATATGTGTATATGTGTGTATGTATACATCTATAGGTATGTGCTTGCATGCTTGTGTGTGTGTGTGTGTTTATCTATATACATATACAGAGACGCCCTCCAGTGGACCTAATCTGGGTCTCATGTACATCACCACGCACAGCCAACGATTTGATACACCGCCACCCTCCCTTGAAGGCACAGAGGGAACTCTTCGGCGGGTGTTAGTGTATATATTTTCCTGGCGTAGCGCCTGCCCAGATCTTTTGGAGTTTCTGGAGCTGCACGCCTGCTGTGGCAACGGGCATGTTCAAGCATGCCACCGACGCCTGTGAATCCCAAGTGCGCCGGCTCAGTCGAGGTCCGCTCGTCGAGCACGGGGAGGCCCGCGCCTGCGAACCCGCGGTCAAGCGGGAGTTCGCCGACGAGTGCGACACGGTCCATGGTGCGGACCCCGTGGAGATCGACAAGAATTCCTTCACTGAACACGGGAAGGACCACCTACGTCTCCGAGTCCAGCGGCGCTATTCTGACCGAGTCCCCGTGCATCGAGCAGGGGGAGGAGCACGTAACCCAGAACGCCACAGCTATGCTCGTGCTGGATGTGGAGGTCGCTGCCAAAGCTGCCGTGAAGAATTTTATCGACTGCACGGTCGAGGAGAGTGTTGGCGGTAAGGTGCCCTGCTGGACGCACCTGGGCATCGACGGACAAAAGAGCCCTTCGAAAATTACGACGACTACGGAGTCCAGGCCGTGGAGAGACGTTTCCAGCAATTCGTCTCCAATCGCAAGAGCGTCCAGGAGATGCAGATTTTTGACCGGCGGTTGAGCGCCAGCTTCAATGCCATGACTGTCAATTTCCTGGGCGCAGCCGAGAGGCAGAATGTACACCAAGCTCTTGCGCGCGCAGCGAAGGGCACGTGAGCGCGTAGGGGCAAGTGAGTGGGTTGACGAAGCCCTTTTTACTCCCTCTCCTCCCCCTTCCACTTCCCTCTGCGCAGAGTCAGGTTGTTGTCAGGCAGAGTTCGCAGTCATGTCCGGTTCTTCCCCGAGTCCCAGCGTCGGTGGAGGCACAGGCTGTCATCTCATGCGGTGCCGGCCGTCTCGTGCGGCACTCGACCCCCCCCACTCATCCTTTCGATGGTCCGTCCTCATCTTCCCGTTTCTCCTCTTCTTCTTCCTCCTCCTCCCCCCTGGCCTTTGCCATGTGTGGTATGTGACGCTATCATGCGCTGCGATACGGAATAGTACCTGTGGGACCACCCTCTGAGCGACGTTTTTTTGCTTGGGGAGGGGGGGAATGGTTGTATCTTTCGGTTTGCGATATGCGTTGGATCGTTTATTTCTTCTATATATCGAGCGAGCGCGGTATCTATCTGTCGACCTGACTACCTATGGGTCTCACTGTCTGACTATCACTGGTTGAATTGCTAACATCTTTGCCGATCTCTCTATTGCCGTCCGCGGGGGGCCAGACCTGTGGACACACGGGCCGCTTCCTGCTTGACCTCTTCTCTTGTTGAGTCTGTCTGTGTTTGCGAGTCGTGCTGTATGGTCTTGTCGTTTGTTGTGGCTTTCGCGCGGTATGGTCTGGCCCATGTGTTCGAACGCTGATCAGAAGAGCCAGGGGAACAGGCATGATTGGAGCGTGTGCAGTGTGGATATGCTATGCCGTAATGACGTTGAGCCTCGTCCGCCGGCCTTCAGTCCTCCGAGGTTGAATTGTTGAAGAATGTCGTCCCCTGACAGAGACTGCTGTAGGGTTTTCATAACATGTAGAAAGCGCGCGGTCCACTGCGCAACCTGCGGCGAAATCGCTACCGGACAGTTTGGTAACGGACGGTTTGGTAGTTTGTAGGATGCTTGACGCAAGTTGGCGCAGCTGATGACGCAACCTATGACGCAATGATACGCCCAGTGTAGCAACGGACGACTTGGGAGATTTCCGAGTGCCTCACTGCCAAGGACGCGTTGGTTGTTCGCGGGACGCCTTGGTGCACCATGATGTATGAACTAGAGCGGATCTTGAGCACCCCCTCCTTGTCCGTACACGCGTTCTCCTTTTCCTCTCTGATCGCTCCCCTGCTTCGTCCCTTTCCTTTCTCCCCCTCTTGGACGCGTCTTGGAGGCTTCTCTGGAGCCTCTCGAGCATCTTTCGGGGGCCTCTTAGAGCCGTCCTGGCGGCCTTTGGAGAGTCTGTTGAGGGGCCTCCGGGGGGCTTTCTGGGGGCCTCTCGGGGGCGTTTTGGGGGCCTTTGTTGGGGGTCCTGGAGGCAATGCTGGAGGGAAAGTCTCTCAAGGCTCGGGTTTCCCATTTGGGGCCCACTGTCGGTGTTCACCGTAATTGGTGAATCTGTGTGGTTGTGCGTTCTGGTAGCCTGCACGCGTGTGCCGCAATAGTCGCGAAAGTTGAGCCTGTCTGTTCAGGTCTGTTTCCGCGCGGGGATTCACCTGCGCGATTCCTCCCTCCTTCCCATCCTTCCCCCTTTCCTCCTTCCCTCCTCTTTCCCTCCTCCTTCCCTCCTCACCAGGGCTCGAGCTAAACGAAACGGCGTGTTGGCAATTTCGTGGACTGTTTTCGTTTCGATTTCGTGCTGCAGCAAAGGTGGAACGAAGACAGAACGAGGGCTAACGATAACACCACGAGAATGGAAAACACTGTTTAGCTCGAACCCTGCTCCGCAATCCTTTCTTCCTCCTCCCTCCGCGTGAGGCAGCGCTGCAGATGGAGCTGAGAAGCATCCAGGAGGAGCTTCGGGGGAGGGCGGCGCGGTGCTCGGCGGGGTGCCACGCGGAGCGGCGCGCGACCCTGCGCTCCCCCATCGGCGCGTCTTTCAGTTTTTCCGATGTCCCCTTTACCCTCACGTTTGTGCCCCGGAGCTGATGCGTGCATCTCTTTTCGGGGACGCACTGGGCCGGGACAGTGCAAACCCGGTCAGTCGGGTCCTGCAGAATCCTGCAGGATCCCGCAGGCTCTTGCAGGATGCTGCGCGCTGGCTCATGTCAGTGCGCCCCTGGCTCTGCAGGGATCCTGGAAGATCTGGCGCTCTGGCTGACCCCAGTCTCCAGGCTCCCTCTCGTTGGTGTCTGATAGAAGTCGTTGCTAGGATTGCCCTTGGCTACTGGTCCTCTGCCTGGACACCTCCTCCCCGTCCTGCTCGCAACTCGAGCGCCTCCCAGTCGCCACTCTGCCTCTGCATCCCCTCGCTGCTATGCCCTGGACTCGGAGATTGCGGGGACTCAGTCTGGCTCGCTGTTCCAGGGATCTTGCCCTTCGAGGGGTGTGACTCGGGCGGTGTCGGGGGCCCATTCTTGCTCGTTGTCATTGAGTTTTGGGCCTCCCAATGCATGGCTGGCTCCTCTGCGGTCGAGCACAGGGTGATTTCGGCCGGTGCCTTTCGGGTCGCATCCCGACTGCCGTGGCCACTCGGGCCTGAGAGAGCTCGGGCGCGCGTGCGACCTCGAAGCACTGGATGTGCCCGCTGTTGGCCGCGCTGGCGGGGTACTACGAACGGCCTTAGCCTGCCTTGGGAAATACTCCGCCGCAGTGCGCAACGCGCCTCCCCCCCCCAGACGGAGTCCCAATGTCCCAATCAAGGTCCTGAGGTTGCGCCGCCTGCACACGTGCTGCCTTGTGCCATTTCCTGGGAAGGCCGCAACCTGGTGAGTGCTGCGCACGGCCGGGCCTCAAGTCGGGTCGTGGGCATTGCCCGTGTGCCAGATCATCAGTATGGGCGCAAAGACAATTGCGTTTCGCGCCGCGGGGGCTGGGCCGCGCCCTTCTCTGTGGCAGTGTCCTTTTTCGGGGCGGCGGCGGGTGAGGACGCGAAGATGACCGCGCATCGCGCATCCCAGGGTGTGATGCGCAAACTTCGGTGACCTTTGTGCGCTGGTCATCCATATAGTACATGTAAGAGTTTACGCTACTGTACGCATCGCTTGTCGCGCGTGGCACAACAAAAGCGACAGTCCTTGTGCACTCTCTGCCGTTGGATCGGGTTCCTCGTTATGACTGCTCTGGTCCTGGGAGGGGGCGCCTCCTTGTCGCGCGGCTGGGCTCGGTCAGAAGAGCCTGTCAGGACATTAGTGGGAGAGCTCCACGGAATTGACCCCGTTGTATTTGACGTATGGACCTTTGGCATAGGACATTTGCGCCCGTGGAGCTGGGCACATTGGCCCCCTGACATTGGGTGGATGGGCCTGCGGCGCTGGTTCAATCGAAGACGCCTTTGGCGAGTCACCGCCGCCCCCTGCCTTCCTGTGTGGGGAAATGTTGAGGGAAGGTGCGGCCATGCTAGAGGTCTGGGTGTTCCCCCGGCGCTTGGGGGCACCACTTGGAGAACACCGGCGGGGCCCTTTGCGGCCATCTTGAGGCTCTCTTGGAGCTGTTTCCGGGCCATTCGGGCCTTCTTGGGAGCCTATTTGGGCCTTCTCGGGCCCGACAAGCCGCGACAAGCCCCGGAGATTTGGCAATTTGGGCCCCAGGCTCCTTCAGAACCCTCAGGATCGGGGAGGGAGACTCATGTGATTAGGCAAATTACCTGAGGACACGCCCACTCCGTTCCCAGACATTGGAGTCTGGGCCCGGGGTTGCCAGCAGTGGCTATTGGAGCTGAGCAGTTCGGCCCTGGAGCCGAGTCTGAGCATTTTAGACGCATCCATCGGACGGGCCCCAGCTCCGGTCTTGGGAACTTCGCGGGCGAGCCCGGCCCGGCTCGGAGCTCCGACGAGCGGGACCCAGGCTGATCTCGGTGGCCGCGAGCCGGCTTCCCGTCCAGGCTGTCCGGCAGTGAATTTAAGCTCTTCGCCCGTGGCGGGCGCCCTGCCGAGTCGCAAGGCTCTGTCGTCCTGGCTCGGCTGGCGCGCGCCCTTCCGCCGCACCTCTCCAGGAGCGGCGTCGTCTTCAAGCAGCAAGCCTTGGCGCCGAGGCCTGGGGTCCGTTCCAAGATGCTTCGATGGGCCCTGGCGCCCGCGCCCGCAGGCGAACTCGAGGCCCCCCCCCCTCGGCGGCGAGATCCGCTCCCCACCCTCGCCGATCAACGGTGCGGGCAACTCGATGGGCGGCGAGGGTAGGATTCGGTGTTCGTCGAGCACGTGGCGAAGGCCGAACCCTACCACCGCACCCCAACGATTTAGAAAAATCGATGGATGGTGGCGGTTGGGTTCGGATGTCGCCACCTGTCTTCTCCCCTCCCTCGGTCCAGGGGTCGACGTAAACGGTGTTCAGGTGATTTCGTGGGCCGTTCTTGCTTCGATTTCGTTCGTTTTGCAGCAGCGGCGTATGGAAGACAAGACGAGGGAAAACGAAAGCAACGAAAACGACAAACCCTGTTCAGGTCGAGCATTGGTTTGGGGTAGGGCTCGGATGTCGCCGCCTGGCCTCTCCCCTCCCTTGGTTTCAGTCGGGCCTGTCCCCCTGCAGGGGGAACATTCGAAAATAGTATAAAAATCGTATGTGGGGGCGATTTTTCCGACTGTTTTGGACTATTCTTGAATATTTTTTGAGACGGCGCCACAGGGGGCGTGTATTAGCGACGGGCCCCTTTTCCATGGGAAATCGCGGATTCCCGCCGTCTAGCCAGGCGGCACTGGCCGCATTTGGGGGAGGTGACCGCGCGCCGAATCCATGGATCGCTAATCGATGTTTGCCCTCTCCCCTCCCTTGGCCCGTCCACCCCTTCGGGCCCGCGGCAGCTCCGGCGCTCTGCTGCCCGGCCTCTGGGCGGCCAGCGCCGTGGGCCAACCGCCGGCACGGCGGGCCCTCCGCGGGAGGGGGGCTTAGATGATCTTAAAAGCGCTGGGGACGTTTTCTTTCCGTTTTGGAGATCGACGTTTTTTTTCTATTTTGGGAGCCGTTTTTTTTGTCTGTTTTGGATTTGCGCCTTGCCGTTTCTGTTCGTTTTGCGATCCGTTTTTTAATCGTTTTCACCTGCCGTTTTCTGTACGTTTTCGTCGCCGTTTTTGCGAACCTCTCAAAGCCCGTGCCGTTTTTTTTCTGTTTTGGTTCTCCGTTTTGTGTGCGTTTTCGCCCGCCGTTTTTGTTACGTTTTGGTCCTGGTCACATCGTTTTGGGCACGAGGGGGGGACCACAGGAGGTTCTCGCGTCGCGT